CACAGCGCTAGCTCGCTGAAGTAGTTCGTTAGATTCTCCTTCAAGAAACTAGCGACTTTTAAGTGTAAATTTAACCAAGGGCCTTGCGTTACTTTTAAATGGCTTCGCTATCGTAATAATTATTAGCTACTGCACGTTTTTTATGGAAAATACGTAACCTAGTTATACGGTTAAGCTATGTTTTGTATCCGGCCTACGGCCGGATACAACAAAGGACTTAAACGACGATACAATAAGAAACAATAAGAAAAAAAGATACCCGTACGGCCGTTAGCTTAACACTACGTTGGGGTAACTAAGCCAACGTACCTAAGCTACGCTTAAGTTACATTTATTAATGAATTAATTTTATATGACTCGAGTTAAACGTGGTAATGTATCTCGTAAAAGACATAAAAAAATTTTAAGCTTGTCAAAAGGTTTCAGAGGTGCTGCATCGACTTTATTCCGTACAGCAAATCAACAAAATATGAAAGCATTACGTTATTCATACAGAAACCGTCGTCAAAAAAAACGTGATTTTCGCCGTACTTGGATTGCACGTTTAAATTCTGCTGTGCGTCGATATGGCTTAAATTATAGTCAATTTATGAATTATTTAAAAACGCATAAAATTCAATTAAACCGTAAAGTCATTGCTCAACTTTCTATTTGTGACCCAGAAGCATTTATGCAACTTCTATTATTTTAATTTTTCGTTGTAAACAATCACACGGTTTATCTTGAAAGAGGTTTTCGGTCTAGGGTTTGAATCCTTACAGAAATGTGCTGTAAGGATTCAAANCCTGGGCCGAATTTTAAAATCTCCGTTTCTCGAAGGGTAACAAAGCGAACTTGTGAAACTACGGAGTTGCCTTTAGTTTCCCCTTAACGACGTTAAGCCTAGTTTCCTTTAAGAAAAAGCGCACACCACAGCGCTATAAGGTTCGTAGTTAACTGCAACAAATATTAGTGAACTCTAACGAACGTAGCTTTTTTTACAACGAAGTTGGTCCCCTTCGGGGAAGACCAATGGCTTAGATTTAGACAACGAAGCTACTTGTAATAACCATCGTAGCCATTGTGTAATGTAGCTCCCCGTAGCAGAGCTACTGTGAAGTCACATGCTAGCTCCGGCCGAATGTAAGTACTTGTACCTAACTCTGCTTTCTTCGGATCCATCTAGGCCCGGAGTATAAACCTCGGGCTTCGCCCGTAGCTAGATTCGCCTACGGTAAATCGCTACTAATTTTTATAAGCCTTTTCGGCCTGCTAAAAACTAGTTACAAAGGCAAAGCCTTGTAGTTTATCGTAGTTAATTGGGGGACAAAGCCCTACTTATAAAATAAAGCCTAAACCTACTCAATAAATAAAACAAATCGTTATAAAACGACAAGTACTACAGCACTTTTACTTTTTATAAAAATATGTTATATTAAAAATAATATCTATATATTAAATTCTAATCATAATAAAATATTACTAGTACATACGTTACTTAGACGAGGGTAGTTCTTGTTTCTTGTGACTTAATCACAGTACTTGTGGAATGCTGCAAAGGTTTACGCTACTAGATAAACTACTATCGTTGTCATCCCCGAAGGGGTGTTCCCCTTCGGGGAGACGAAGGGGTTCCCCTTCGGGGAAGACAACAAACATAAATGAGGGCCCTTGTCCCTTCCATCCCCTTTAGTTCATCCCCGAAGGGGAACATCCCCTAAAGGGGAACCGAAGGGGAACACATCCCCTTTAGTGTTCTTCTTCTTCCCCTAAAGGGGAACTTTAGTTCATCTTCTTTAGGGGAACTAAAGGGGTGTTCCCCCTTCTTCCCCTAAAGGGGACGGAGACTTTGGTTCCCCTTTGGGGAAGAAAACGAAGGGGATGAACTAAAGTTCCCCTTTAGGGGAAGACTTTGGTTCATCCCCTAAAGGGGAACTAAAGAAGACAACCCTAAAGAAGACAACCCTAAAGAAGACAACCCTAAAGAAGACAACCCTTTAGTTCCCCTTTAGGGGATGACGATGAANTAAAGTTCCCCTTTAGTTCTTCCCCTAAAGGGGAACTTTAGGGGATGTCCCCCTTCGGGGATGAACTTTAGTGCTCTTCTTCTTCTTCATCCCCTAAAGGGGAACCAAAGTCTTCCCCAAAGTATCTTCTTCGTCTCCCCGAAGGGGAGACGAAGGGGTTCCCCTTTGGGGAAGAACACTAACGGGGAAGAAGGGGGGGGTGTGTTCTTCTTCTTCTTCCCCTAAAGAAGACGGAGTCCCCTAAAGGGGAAGAAGAAGAGACTTTGGGGTGTGTTCTTCCCCTTTAGGGGAACCCCTTCGGTTCATCCCCTTAAGGGGAACTAAAGGGGACGAGCACTTCTTCCCCTTTAGGGGACGGAGTCCCACTAAAGGGGAAGAAGAAGAGACTTTGGGGATGACTTTGGTTCATCC